TAAACTCCTTAGGGCGCTCACTCTATAGCTTTAGCGGCTTGCCTATATTAGGCGAGCGGCTACGGGGAGCATCGGCGGAAATAGTTAATGCAATAGCTATATATATAGTAGTAGCGGTACTAGCTAGTAGAGCAGTTGCTACCGTACTAGCGGCTAGAGGAGTAGTCGTATTCGTCGCGTTCTTCTTTACCGTATTAGCCGCCTTCTTAGCTGCTTCTACTAACTTCTTTACAGCGTTATTAGTAGGTAGCTTACGTAGAAAGTCGATCTCTAAGCGCTCGAGCTTGTATTCGATATCCTAGCAGAGCTTAGTAAGCTTACTCTCGTTGCTATATCTCTCTATTGCGAGACGGTTACGGTATTTGAAGTTAAGCTTCTTCTTAAGGCGACGCATAGCTAACTTCTTACTATAGGCGTTATCTAACGAAGGAATACGCGCAGCGTACTACTAGTACTTAGCGTAGAAGGAGCTAAAGTTCTTAGAGTTACCCTACTTTAGCGTATCTATAGAATCTTAAGCCTTCTTAACGCGGTCGTACTTAGTAAAATACTTATCTATAAAGTCAAACATTTTACGAACAGAGCGGAAGGGCTTAGACGAGGCTGTCGGATCCTTACGTAGGAGGATTATCGGAATGTATAGCTTTAGTATCTTATATACGAGACTATCTAGATCGGTATAGCTATAAATGTAACGTAATGCGGATAAGATATCGCGGAAGCGGGTAACACCTAGCTTCGTTCCTAGTGCTACGTACTAGGTATTAAGGTTAATGCTAACGATCTAACCCTTAATATCGCGGTCGCCCTTAAACTTAGTAGGCTTGTCGATATTACGAGAGGTCTTAAACTTATCGTATAGAAGTAGATCGTACTAGACAGGATCGACACTATTATCTTCGTCTAAGCTGTCGTCGGATTCCTTAGCTAATTTCGACTTCTTGATCTTCTTATTCTTCTTAGACTTCTTAGACTTCTTAGACTTCTTACCCTTATCGCCTTCGTCGTCGGAAGAGTTATTAGAAGAGGAGGGTAGATTATTATCTCTACCTATTAGGTCGATTAGTAGTAGCTTACTGCCTTTGCTAGCATTACCGTTGTTATTATCGTTAGGTAGCGGAGGTAGAGGGCTACCGCGACGCCTACGCGATAGGGATCGAGAGAGTAACGATCGACTATTACGAGGCGAGTTCTCGCGCGAGGACGGACGGCCGCGCTATTAAGCATCTGCGAGGTCGTTCTCGAGTTAGCTAATCTTTACGTATAAATCTGCTATATCTTAGAGAGTAGGTGTATTAGGGTTAGCTACTATATTAAGTGCGATTTGTATACGAGCTACGTTGCTCTCTACGTCGATAAGCTTCTTCTAAGTGTCGTACACTTCTGCTTCTGCCTTCTTAACCTACTATCGGTACTCGGTATAGTACTTCTTATACTTCTCGACGTCTATCGCGACTAGATTCTTCGATAGTATCTTCTTATAGGAATCTATCTCCTTCTATAGAGTCTCTACTACTAAAGCTATATACTTTATCTTCTTGTTAACATCCTTATACTTCTGCTTATTAAGCTTATTTGCTTTAAATAGGACAGAGCATTAGTAAACGGTCTTACGGTAATCGAGTTCTAGTTATCGTAGGAGAACGTAAATTAAGTCGATCTCTTATAATACTATAGTAGCGAATTGCTCGGAGGTTAACTTTTAAAGAGACTTTAGCGGGATAGTAACAGTTATAGGTAAATCGGCTTCTATAGCCGCTTTATAGTCGATTGCTACCTCGAATCGCCTAGTCGCATTATCCTTACGAATATAGGCATCGTAGATTAGCTCGGAGAAGTTGAAAGTTAGCGCTAGAAGTTCTAGATAGGTTATATCTTAACGATCTCCTAATTCCTCCTTAGGACCTTCTAGTAGCTTCTCGAGGATCTCCTTCTCTTGCTCGCTATATTCGGATAGAAACTAGCCGGGAACGGCTCCCTAGGTTTCATTATCGGGTATTATAAATAGTGCTAATTCTCGAGTAACGCGCCGGTAGCGCAGTCGCTTAGAACGCGCTATAGCGGTATTAAAGAAAGATACGAGGGTCTGAATACTTGCCGTTTAGTAGCGTTCTAACTTATAGATAAGGCGCGCCGTTTCTACGAGACTCGAGCGGTACGCGTTGTCTATCTTATTACCTTATATAGAACTGCGCTATACTTCTACGAGTATTCGGATAGCGAGTATTTCGAATACGGATACGAATATAGAATAGCGAGTCTATCTTCTATAGAACTACGCTTACGAATACGAGGGTGCGAGTCTACCTTCTTATAGAACTGCGCGAGGGCGGATTTCGAATACGAATGTCGGAAGCGTATTTTAAGTGCGATTTCGAATAGCGGATTGCGTAACACTAATATAGCAGTATCCTATAAGTGTATAGTTCGCGAAATGTAACGGAGACCTTGTATTCGGGGTATCTACGAAGTCGCGAACAAAGATCTAAGAGGTAGAAGGAAGGGGAGCGTTAAGTACTAACCCGGAGGTGCTAAGCCTCGGTACGGCCCGTATCGGGCTTTTATATATTAGACTCGCATATAAAGGGCTTGCCCGTAACAGTACTCGAACCGCCTCTTTATTAGTTAACCGTAGAACGTAGAAGGTATATACGACCCGGATCTTTAGTACCTTAATATCGTTAACTCGGTAATAGTAAGTAGAGTAGCTATAATTAATATTCTACTCTTTAAGCCTTCGTTTAAGTATATTAAGGGATATCTAACAACCGGTCTCCTATATAAGGTGCTATACGATTGCTTCCTATATAGTACCGCTATAGACTTAAGATGTTATCTAAGCCTTCTATAGCGATAAATCGATACGTAGAGGCATTCTACGAGTTAATAGCGAGTATATTGCGAGTCGTAGAAGGTTAAACACGAAGAATTAGGTAGTAATAGCGGTAAGAGGTATAAGAAACCCCGCATTGAGCCTCTGGTATGTATAGGCCTCCCTACTTTCGGCGCGGTAAAGTGAGGAGCGGCGCGAGACGAGCGCTGCCTGACGCGTTTTCATCTTTGACCCGCATGTGCAGCGCTGTTTATTAAATGAACACCATCGACGAATGTTTGGGCCTGCTGCTGTGCCTGACCACTCTGTACGTCCTGCACTGGATGATACTAGGACGCACTGCGGGACTCAGGTCGCGTCTGCCCGCCATTCCTCGCTGGTCTCGCCCAGCACACGCTGCTGCTCCTGCTTCCGCCTTCGCGACCTCGACCGCATCGCAACGCCCATTTTCGCTTCCAATCCTCTCGACGCGCCCTCTGGAGAGCGCTACGGCCAATATGCTGCGCGGGGCTGTGAAGGAGCACGAGAGAAAGAGGGCGCAATCACACATCTCCAGCTTCGCCTCGACCCAGCCCAGTCACTCGTCACTGAAGGCAGCATCCACGCCCACGCCCACGCCCGCGACCACGAGCAATCCAGGCTCCAAGAACGCGCTCAAGCCCACCTCAGCATCCACGCTCAATGCCCTGAACAACTACCGCTCACAACAACGCACTGGCATCAAGCGTACCGCGAGCGGGCTCGCGAAGAGCTTGCTTGGGTCCTTCGATGATGATGCAGCATCGAGACATCAGCCGATAATGGTGGGCGGCAGCACTTCCCACACCAAAAGCAGCATACCACACTTCATGCCGGAAAACCTCTTCGACGCAGACGATTTTGACGACGATATAGAGCTAGACATAGACGCGCCCCTCACGAAGCCGACCGTGGGCTATCCTGACCTACCAGCACAGCCTATGCAACCGAACCCAAAATCGACAATATCATACCCGACCCTTCCTAAACAGCAACTACAAGCGCCGAATGTAGGCAAGCAGAGCAACGATGACTTGGTGGATTTTTCCTTTGCCTCTGCACAGCAGCAGCCAGCGACAATAGACCAGGCTCCGAATAGTAGTGCTCCGTTGCCATGGTCTTCTTCTCCGGTAGAGCATTTCGATCCACCACCTCAACCCAAGCCTCTCCCATCGTTGCAGCACTATGCTTTCAAAGGACGCATCGAGGAGGGTGCATCCACGCAGGAGAGGCCCGCCAAGCGGAGGACGCTGCCTTGGCTGGATCAGGAAAGCACACAGGGCGATACTGCCTCGAGAGAATCGACCAGCTCCACCGCGTTCAAGGTCAAGACCACATACGCCACTCCTGGTTCCACCAAGGATAAGAGGGACAAGTCCATGTATCTTTGGAACACCACTGCCAGCGCCGTGAAGGAGCAGCAGAAGAAACATCGTGAAGAGGCCAAGAAATTGTCGCTCAAGAAAGTGGATGGAACAGAAGACTCGGTCCGCAAGGCGAAGAGCACGCAGAGGCGACCGGCCCGTGTGTTTCTCAGTGACGAGCAACAGCACGTTCTGGGGCTGGTCATCGAGAAGAAGAAGAGCGTTTTCTTCACTGGATCGGCTGGCACCGGAAAGTCTGTGCTTATGCGAGAGATCATCTCACAGCTGCGGAAGAAGTATCAGCGGGAGCCAGATCGTGTTGCCGTGACGGCTTCGACTGGACTGGCTGCATGTAACGTTGGTGGCGTGACGCTACACAGCTTCGCTGGCATTGGCCTGGGCAAAGAAGACGTGCCTGAACTCGTTCGCAAGATCAAGCGGAATCAGAAGGCAAAGCATCGTTGGATGCGCACGAAGGTGCTTGTCATTGATGAAGTGTCTATGGTTGACGGCGAACTTTTCGACAAGCTTGAGGCCATTGCGCGCCAAATCAGAAACAACGGCAGGCCATTTGGAGGCATTCAAATTGTGATCACTGGTGATTTCTTCCAGTTACCACCAGTGCCCGAAGGTGGTCGCGCTGCCAAATTTTGTTTCGACGGAGCAACGTGGTCAACGTGTATCGAGCACACAATCGGCCTGCACCATGTGTTCCGTCAGAAAGACCCAAGTAAGTGATTGTGAGAAGTTTTACTTGGTACAATACTGATCTTCGTAATAGTCTTCGCTGGCATGCTCAACGAGATGCGCGAGGGCCGCCTGACCGAATCTTCTATCCAAGCATTCCGGAAACTTGACCGCCCGCTTAACTTCGAAGACTCACTCGATGCAACAGAGCTGTTCCCAACACGTCAGGAAGTCGATCGCGCCAATAGTGGTCGATTGTCGCTTCTTCAAGGAGAGCTGTATCCTTTCCCTGCCAAAGACGGCGGTTCCATTGTCGACAAAGCTCAGCGCGACAAGTTGCTTTCCAACTGCCTCGCTCCCGAAATGATCACGCTCAAGAAGGGTGCGCAGGTCATGCTCATCAAGAACATCGATGAAACGCTTGTCAATGGCTCTCTGGGTCGCGTCATTGGCTTCATGGATGAGCGTCAATTCGACAGCTACAACAACAACGAAGCCGCGTTCCTGCAGTCCCCGGGCGGCACCATTCAGAGCAATCGCGACATCGACGAGTCGCAGCCTAACGCGCGGCAAATGATGCAGGGCATCACGACGTCGCGCAGATGGCCCTTGGTCCGCTTCGCCGTCGCAGATGGCACCTGGCGTGACTTGCTGTGCCAACCCGAGACCTGGAAAGTCGAACTACCGAACGGAGAAGTTCAAGCCTCTCGTGCACAAATCCCTCTCATCTTAGCCTGGGCTTTGTCTATCCACAAAGCCCAGGGTCAGACTCTAGCTCGTGTGAAAGTCGATCTCGGCAAAGTTTTCGAGAAGGGCCAAGCTTACGTCGCCCTGAGTCGTGCCACCAGCATGGCTGGATTACAGGTCCTGAGATTCGATCCGAGAAAGGTCAATGCTCATGACCGAGTTCGGAATTTCTATTCTAAACTCGCACGTGTTGAGTTGGCAGAGAAGAATCAGGCACGTCTGGACAAGATCAAGCAGCCAACTACGACGACTACTTCGGCCAAGGATTATGAAGAGCAATTCATGAATGGAGCTTTTGATAATCCGACCATGGTGGAGGGGAATTTCAAATGGGACGACTTCTGAGCGATGGGAGATGTCTGGCAGTGGCTGAAAGACGGAATGTCCATGTTTGGCATCGTTAACGCGCACCATACCTGTTTGGCAGAGGCATGATGAGTCGGTAGACAGCCTACGCTATGCTATATTGCTCAACGCTTCGCTTACTGTCACTCGGAATGCTTGTCGTTTGAGCACGAGGCAGGAACTCGCGTCAGCCGTTCGCGACGCTGCTCATCTTGGAACGTCAAACTCATCAACCACTGTCCTCTTTGCGTTCCCATCTTTGCCTAAATCTCGGCACGACAGACCTTGAAAGCCTGGCTTCTGACTCCTTTGAAATCAATCGAAGCAGGCGAATGGAGCGCCTCTCAAGAATGCATTGCTTCGTGGTGCACGGGGAACGAAAACATGAGAATGATGCGGGTGATCTCGCGTCAATCGCCTCTGACGCTGTCAATTCTTGAATGCTTGCTCCTGTCATTCAGTCTGATGCTTCTTTTCAACTGCCGTTCTCCATGCAATACTCTATGTGCACACATCTGGGTATCAAAATGCAACGCTATGCAAACGACATCACCACAATCATCATGCACGCAGCTTGTCTACGAAATCACCTTCGCCCGGCCCTTCTTCTAATCGTCCTCTTATGCCATCTAGCCTTCACACCTCGCCTGGCCAAAAAGTCGCGTATCTTATCCCACAACATGAAGCCGAAGACGAGGAGCATGAAAATTACCAAAACAGGTATAGCAACGGTCCAGAAGAAGGCGAAAGGCTTAGCGATACCATCACCACTCGCAAAATTCATGCCGAAATATCCTATAAGCCAAATTAGTTTCGCCGCGAGTAACTTGCGCATTTTTCAGCTCACGTACCTGATATGAAGGTCAAGGGCGCGAAGAATACTGTGACGACTGCTAAGATCATCATGAAGTTGTTGGTCTGCGCTCCGACGGTGTTGAAAATTAATGTAGATATGTTGCCGGCGGAGGCATCCATCTGTTCCAGTGCTTGGATCATGGTGATACAGTGATCAAGCACATCGCCGAAATAAGTGTGGGCGAGCGGCGTAATCGTTACGCTCGTGGCGTAGTCTGCTCGCTTCATTGCGATTCTCCTGAAGTCTGATACTTGTCTCATCACTGCTGGTATACCCTCACGGTTCCGTTTGCTTCCGGGACTCTTAGGTCGGTGGTGCTCCACTGAAGGGATCGGCGCAGGTACTAATCCAGTTGGAGGCTCCGAGTTGTGGTCGCGAAGACTGTTGACAAGGTGAACGATTGGCTTGAAAAGGTTTTGCAACATGTCGACTTCTTCGCCGAAGATGTGAAGGGCTCTCGAGGTCTTGATGTTAGGATTGGTCATCGCATCGATCTGGAGTTCCTTTCGACTTTTGTTGTATGCGTCCCTGACTGGAGTTGCCAAGTCGACCACAGCGTCAATGATAGCTTGGAGTAGAAGCGAGGCATCGCAACTCCTTCTAAGCATTGTTTCCGGGCTGTTCAGCCGGTTCAGGATAGGCCGTTCCACGTCATCAGCCGAATGCTCGAAAAAGGAGATGACGCTGTTGTCGGAAAGAAGGAAGATCGAGACCTGCTCGACGCTAACCGCGAGGTTGTCTTGCGCGAGAGCACTGTGTCTCTCCATCCAGGCAGTGTGTTCAGGAATCTGAGCACTTTCGTATCGATGCAAGGTGCGAATAGCCTTAACCGGTGACTCGTCGGAAATGCCTGAATGGGCGCTTACAAACTCATCGACCTTGCCGTCGTGATCACGGTCCATGTACTGCGGCAGAGCATTGCGTGGAGGAGGCGGTCTCAACCCCAACCTGTCTCGTAGGGTTTGCAGGAAGCTCTTCTTCTTGCCCAGCGCTTCAAATTTCTCGTCAATTCCTTCTTCCTCGGATGAATCCATGCCGCTCGTGCAGGTGCACTTGTCATTACGGCCCCTGTGTTGGTGCAGCCGGACCAGCTTTTGGAGCGTCAGTACAATATACGCCTGTTCAGCATACCAGTCGACTTTTGTGCGAGTTTTGGTATGTATCAAGTCCTCGATGGCCAGCCGATGAAGATTGTACTTGTTGCCCAGAAGACGAATGACATCCCAGGATAGTCCATTAACAGATATCCAGCGACACGGCAGTTGCTCGGTTCTTGGGATATTCAAGATGGCCTCTAGATCTGCGTTGGTACATCTCGATTGATGAATATTCTGATATGACCACGTTAGCACGGATGAGGAAGATTGTGAGCCAAAATGTACTTACCTGATCTGAAAAGTCTATAACATTGATATCGCACGCAGTCTTCAACTTGGTTAGATGCGGTGGGATCTTGTCGTCCTCGGCAGAGGTGTCGACGCCGGGTTCGGCTCCAGGCTGCCAGCTTGATGCATCATGAATCTCAGGTTCGTGATAGGTAGTGACTGTGTTGGACCGCGATGGTTTGCGATGTCTCAGAGTGTCGATAGTTTCGGGCACAGAGAGGCGAGAGCCTGCACTCGCTTGCCGATGAAGGCCATGCATGCCGGGCAACATTGGAGGCCGAGGCGCAGGGAGCACAGGAGAGAGAGGCGTATTGCTATCCCTAGCTCCATCGCCCGACGATACTTGCAGAGTCGCTGTTCTCTCAGGGCCTTCAAAATCCCGCACCGTGGTCATCGCGCCGAAGTCAGGGATAGTCTCGCTCATCCGAAAATCAGATATGCCATGCCATGAATGTGAGGGAAGATGAAAAGTCCAAAGCGTCGAAAAAGCGAATGTAATATATGAAGGTGACGAGTGAGGACAAAAGTTCAAAAGTACCGCGAAGTCATGAGATCGTGGAGAGAGATTTAAGCATGCCAGCTAAGCTTTTCCACCAAAAAGCTAATTGGAGCTTTTGGACAAGGTGCCGAGTCTAGTCCGACCAATGAGAATTGCAGCTTGACACCACCTGCAGCATCTCCCGCAGGATTGAAGCAGCATTACTACGACTCTGTTCACGACTATGACGGCCCTAAGCAGTTTCTCCCCCAGAATCGTGCTACACTGAGACAGTGTGGCTGGTGGGAAGTTTTGGCCTCCCGCCCGCGCCTATGGAAGCATGCGTATGTCGAGGTACGCCTCAGTTCATTCAAACCTGGCTGATTCTGTACAAGTATATAAACATCGCTCCTAGCAAAGTGGAATTGCTCAAGGTCAGCTACTCGTCTCCACTGCGCCGGTCCTGTCGGGTGCAGCTGCACTCGATGCGGCACCATCCAATGTCACCTTCTCTCTCCTGCGCCCATTTCCTGCATGCTCTTGCTTTTGCATTTCCTTGCGAAGACTTCGAGCTTGGCGTGCTTGTGCGAGGCGAACGTGCCTCTCTTCGTTGTCAATGATCCAATCATTACCTACATACCTCCTCGTTGAGTCGACAAGGGCTTTTTGTGCTTCGCGATGACGCTCCCGTCGGGCTATACGCCATTCCACCTCTTCCTTTTGACGAAGCTCGAATTCGACCATTCCTGTTGGCGTCTCGTAGGAGACCACTCTTGGCGACCAGTATCGGTAGTCCCAGAGAAGGGCAGGTAGTAGCTGGGCAGAGCGGTCGAAGTGGTGATCCGTTCTGTACCCGTGCTGATATGTCGCAAGCAATAGGCGAACCCAACGCCGTGCCCAAAAGACGTTACGTCTGCGTATGATCTCGAGATTCTCCCATTCCTGCCGCGCATGTTCCACCGACTCATGATACATGTCTTGGCCAGATGCCTCCTTTGTCACGAGTTCTTTTAGGTGTTGCTGTGCTTGGCGTGTTTGTTCTCGCTGTTCGTGGACGAATTCGAATGCTTCTCTCATCTTCTCTACCACGCCCTCGATGGTACGGTGGCGAGACCTGCTTTTTATGAGCCTGTTATACATTCCCAGTGTTGGCTGAACGAAGTAGGGAGCTCCAATCATTGTTGTCCAGAGCTTCTCGGGACTGTTAGTAGGAAGACTGCCGGTATCATCGCCTTTGTTCGGGCCCTCCGTGACTTCTGCGCGTTTCAGGGAAAGAGCGAAAGTCCATTCGAATAGTTGCGACCACGTTTCCATGGTGATTGGCAACTTGTAGTGCCGCGCCACAAAATCGACCACGCGTAGCGCCGTAGGGATATCGTTGTTTATGCCAAAGCAGTGGGCCAATGTGAAAAGGAGATGCGGGCTCGGGCGAAGCGATGACGACTCTGCGTAATTCCGAGGAATCATGTCTTCTTCATTCTTGCCCTGCATGATTCCATCAACATCGATCCGCCAGACCTTGCGAAGAACAGATTTTACTGTGTCAACATCGCCTTCGCGGGCGCATGCTGTAATGAGGGTTCGAAAGCTCTCTTCATCAGCTAAAATGCCGCTTGCCAGCATTTGATTAAAGATCTTGAGGATCCTCTGACGAATACCGCCAGGACCAATAGCGTAGTTCCTGAATCTGGACCTATTGACGCGCTGAGGAGGGAGCTTGTCACTTCTGGCCAGCATGTTAAAGGGAATAACTCTGACTTTGTGTCGTGCACCTGGATTGTGGGCCCCTTTCCAAACGTAAGAAGCCATGTAATAGTTCCAGCAAGCAAGATCTGGCGTGTGCCCATCCTCATGAAGCTCCTTCCAGATGATAAAATTCATCTTGGGCCCACCCAGATCTCGAGAAGCTCGGAGCAACATGCGATAGTCTTCAAGGGTTGGTTTCTTGCCCGTGGACCGTCGCATTTTCACTATCCTTCGCAAAACAATTGAATAGTCGTAGGCAACGGCCCGCATGGGAGCAATCGCCATGCTCTCAACAAGAGCAGCGCTCAGCTCAATGTGCGCGTTGCCGAGCTTTGAAACAAATCGGCCGGGCTCCAGAATGCGTATAACGTCGGTGAACGTTGTCTCCGGGATCGCTCGAATGAAGTCCATATCGTCTGCGCGAAGGGCAGAGAATAAGCAGCGTATCACAAGGTCGGCCTCTTTTTTTGCCAGAGCAGCGGGGAAATCTTGCTTGTAGTCCAAATTCAGCAATTCGTCTTCGGGCATAGTGAGGCTTGTCGAATCGTCCAAGACGCCTTGATCTGTCGCAGCTTCAGCTCCACCCTGGAAGTCATCCACGCGCTCAAATTGTTCCCACAAAGCCAGCTGTTCTTGTTCCGACGACTCTTGAACACTCTTAACGCGCGGCTGTTGCTGGCTGAAGAAAGTGTTGCCTCTGGGAGCTCTCGTCATCTGCCTCACAGCCGGCGTACTTCTCACATGCCCGTCAACGCCAAAAGACTGTATCTGCTTCTCGGCTTCCAGTCTTTGTCTAGTCACATGGGGATCCTCATTCCCTTCTCCAGCATCCATTGGAGTAGATCCGCGCGGAGAGCGATTCGAAGCTCCACTAAGTATTGTATCATTGTTTGGATCTCCGTCAGACACCTCCCTTCCTCCGCCAAAGTACTGTCCCGGTATCCTCAAGGTGTCATTGCTGTAACATCGTCGTTGTCTCAATGCTCTCCTGGCCTTGCACCCAGCACAAATCCAATCCCCTCTCTTTCGCTTTCCATCGTTCCATATTGACTGCACTGCTTTCCGGGTCTCCAACTGCCCCAGACGGGCCAGCAGCGAGGTCATTCACGAGTCAGTGCGTCGGTCCAGCGACTGCCTTCCCCATCCCCATGGGCTCAGGAACGGATCGTCGCCGGCGTGTGTCTTGGAGCTGGCTCGGTGAAGACGCGGCGCGGAAGTGAAGCGGCCTAAACTCGGGGCAGGCGACGCGAATTGGAAGGGAGGGCCTTCAAATTGTAGGCGGATGATTTTGATTAAGCCCTGTCGCGACACCACGACCACATCCTTCGTCGACAAACGCGGCTCAACTCACTACATTCATTCGACCTCATATTCGACATGGCTGACGTGGAGGACTCGGGCGGGAACCCTGTCAATGAGCCTCTCGATCTCGTGCGCCTTTCCCTCAATGAAACGGTATTCGTGAAGTTACGAGGAGACCGCGAATTGCAAGGAAGACTACATGTGCGCAGACCTTATTCCAAGGTAGCCCATTCGAGTGAGCTGATGGCGACCTAGGCATACGATAGCCATTGCAACTTGGTTCTTGGCGACGTGACGGAGACGGTATATCTGGTAGATGAGGAAGACGAGGATAATGTGCGGACGGTGAAGAAGCAGTCAGAGATGCTGTTTGTGAGAGGTGAGCGCGCATTTCTTGAGGAAATGGGTCTTTTGAGCACTGATGGATCTAGGTGACTCCGTGGTGCTCATTTCGCCGCAGCAGTGAAAAGACGAAGGGGCAGGAGGGGAAAAGCACAAAGAGAGAAAGACAGACTCCCAGCTGCAGGAGCAGAAACGGCTTGCAGGAAGCTGGGAATGCAGCTCTTCTGCAGGGCAAAGAAGCATTGAGAGGTCGCGTTGTATGCCCTCAAACATTAAGAGACAGGGTCGTGGAAAGATTGCACTCAGCTGCATGGACATGAGCGTCCGAGACATGGTTGCATGACTGCGGAAAGAGGATACGCTGGGAGAACCCTTTTTCATCACAAGTTCAAACGTACTACTGCCATACGGGAGGTATCAAGGATTCTCAGATGCTATGGTAGTCTGATGCTGTACACCGCTTAGGATATCATGGATTATGCTATTTCCCAGGCGGCCATGAACCCGCCTCCCCAACCGGTCTTTCCTTTCATACGCCTGTATTCTTGCACAGTAAGACCTCGACCATCCTTCCCGCCGAAGGAAGTGAAAGCCATGATCGTCACTTTCTGTCCAGGTCTACCAAGGTCTCGAACTGGCACATCACACCACCAGACGTCGCCGTTCGTCTCAAATGGAATATGATTCCTGGGATCCTTCTCAAGAGCATCGATCGCCAGCGCGTAGAGGTAATGAGGACCCTTGCCGTTCCTCTCTTGGTCCCAGTGAGGACATATCTTCTGGAAGGAGAACCGTACTGTTGGTCCTGGCTGTTGTGAGAGCACGATCTTCCCTGCATTTGGTTGGAACGAGGTCTTATCAAATCCTTCTTCTGCGACGTAGCCTCCGTAGAAGTGCGCGCCACACCCGTCTTTGTTTCCAGTGATATACTCCGGCCAAGTAACTCGTCTGCCATCTGCACGGAACTGCTTACTGCTGTCCTCTGGGAAATGATCTAGCCCGAAGCTCTCGTTTGTCTGCGTGAATCTCTCGGGTGCAAATCTTTTCTCATATGGCTGGCCAGCGCCTTGGACGATACCCGCGCCCCAGCATGCGTCGATCAATTTCCATGCTCCTCCATCGATCCTTACAGCGTTCCAGGCATGATTCGACGTCTGAGGTGGAATCGGCTGACCGGGTTGCAACGCAGTGTAGCCGAAACCTTTGCCATCTCCACCGACCACAACAGCTTCCATACCAGCTTTCATGGCAAGAGCGGCAAATAATCCAGCATAGCCTTCACACACAGCTAGACCGCTTGCCAGTGTGTTCTGAGGCGTGGACGGTTTGACGTTGTTACCAAAGAACGACACGACATCGTAAGCAATGTTATGATGTAGCCACGTAAAGATAGCCCTAGCTTTATCCGTATGAGAAGGAAAGGGAGCAGTCAATTGCTGGGCTAGCCAGCCCAGGTCTTGTGATGGAATGGACTCCCTAGGAAAGCGTGCGGCGTGGTTGTCCGGCCCAGAGAAGTCCCTGCAATGCAGACAGGAGGACTGCACAGACGGGGTCGCTGCCGGCACTGCAGGTGCAGACACAGGTGCTGCCAGATTGATCCTCGCCTTTCTTGCTGCTTCTTTGACGGTCGAAACAATTCCCCACTCGTTTGCACCCTGAAACGTCTCTATCTCACAGCCACTCTCGAAAATAATAATAGTGGGCCAGCATTGAATCTGATATGCCTGAGCAATGTCTTTGTTGTGATCAGTATTAATCTTGATGAAGGCAATCTGGTTCGGTCGCGAATATTCCAGCGATAGCCGCTCGTAATCCGGTGCAAAGTTCCGACATGGGCCGCACCAGTCTGCATAGAAATCGCTGACAACAATGCGATGAGATGAAAGAATTTGAGAAAACTGAGCGTAAGAGCTGATAGCAACGGGACCTGCCTGTGTTACGGCAGGAGCTGGAGCAGTTGTGCCATTGAGCCTAGGCTTCGAAGCTTGAAGCGCAGCAAGGTCAGGTTTCGAGCTTGTGGGGATAGGCGGCGGTGCTCCGTTTACTGGCGGGGACGAGTCCGGTCTGGCTGAAGGGATCTGAGGTGGCTCGTTTGTAGCCTTATTCATGCCAAAATCGAGCGCTGATCGCTTTGGTCGAGTCGGGAGAGAGGGCTCTGTCTTTGCAGGGACGGTGACACTCGGAGCTCTGTTCGGAAGCTCAGGCCTGGACTGTGGCTGAGTGGCTTCAATAGCCAACATCTGCGCTTGCGGAATGGAGTTCGTCCGTCCTGGTAGCGGAGGAGGAGCAGCAGCCTGCTGTCTGGGAAGTGGCGGTGGAGGTGTTGTGCCGTGTTGCACCTGAGACACTTTCGGAGTCGATTTTGAGGGCCTCAAAGCAGGTCGCATGCCATTATACTTTCTATCAGCGGCTTCCTTTTCTTCCTTGGTCCTTTTGGGAGGCAAAGCAGGAAGCGCTGAAGGGTCGTACTCGGGAGCTCGTATTCTACCACCACCTTGTGAAGTGTAGGAGGTGGCGTTCGAATATCCAGATACAGATGAGCGCGTAGTGGCAACAGAGCTTTGAGAATCTGTAGATCCTCTGCGGCTACGGTCATATTCTGTTTGAGATGGTGCTTCTGATGGTCTCCTTGGCGGCAATGCTGGAGACGGCCGATCTGACGGAGCCCTGTTTGGCAAAGGCGGAGGCGAGACTGCAGGTTGTGTAGAAGTTCTGGAAGGCAATGGTGGCCGATTTGTTGCTCCATTCGCTCCATTCGCTCCATTCGGCCTAGGAGGAGGTGGTGGTCTTGGTCTCTGTGTGCTTGATGCAGTGCTCGATTTATTTGCGGCAGGAGGTACATTATTGTTCACAGGGATGTTGCCAGCAGACTGCAGCTTCAGGGCTGCGATGCGCTCTGCTATACTAGTTGCGCGTGGTTCTTCGGCCATGCTTGCTCAGCGAAGGGTCGAATAAATGCCCCAAGGCGGAAAAGAGAGGGGTGGTGCGCAAAGTAAGGGAGGAAGACGTCGTTTCGGTGGTGAAGAGCTTCGAAGTGCACGGCCTTCAGGTCTGCGGCAAACACGAACGTATCGCTACTGTATGCCCAACTTAGCGGGATCCTTCGAGGCACCAGCACACGTGATAAGGAACGGTGCCATTGATTGATTTTGGCAGATGCACCTCTACACGTCGAGAGCAGAGTTCGAAGCAATGAATGCTAACGACACCTCGTTTCGCCGCTCGTTATCGATGGCTCACTGAAGCGGGCCTCGCCCGAGCACTACTATGGGCTACAGTAAGCCTGTCAGTTAGTGCGGGGAAGACGTACACCTCCGAGAGAGGCTTGGCGAGCACACACACCGCTATTTTATACTATAATCTGCTCTTCTACGCTCTTATAATAGTATAGAATTTTCTATAAATCGTATCGTCGATATACTAGCGGTATAGCGAGTTTCTAGGTATTGTTATCGCTATAATACAACTAAAGCCGATCGATAAGGCCTTATAGGCGCTTCTTAAGTCCTATTTCGCGCAAGGCTATATACCTAAGCGGATAATTAAAGAGACAAAGGTCCCTATTACCGTAAGGTCGATATATAGGTATTAGTAGAAGTAGCGGCTATTTAGCGAATTGTATATAAAGAATAGTAGCGCTATTCGAGGTTAACTATAGAGGCTTCTTTATAAGGAAGAAGAGTAGCTTTACGACTATCTCTACGAGCGGCTAGATACCTATTTCTAAGAGATAATCTCTACTCTTTATAACGAGTTTATACGGCTTCGTCCGATTAATAATAGTAGTAAGGGCATCCGACTAACGCCTATACTACTATTTCGGACCTTAAAGCGTTAGGGTTAGAGCCGGAAGCGTATATAGGTAAAAGCGAAGGAGCGTAACCTATTGCTAAGGGCTTTATAGGTAATAAGGTATACGAGTTAGCCGGTAGATAGGCTTATCTTCGTAGATAAGACTACGTATAATTAGAAGACTAGTTAGCGGAAGTATAGATAGTCAATTCGAGGTATAGGCTATATAGATTATTAGTATGCGAGGCGAGAGGTTAGGTAGTCTGTCCTACCTACCTTTACGATCTACGGTTATTTGCCGTATACGTACGTATACTAAGGATCGATTAATAGTAAGCGGTTTAGCACCTAGTTAGAAGAAGAGGTCCTACCGTACCTTAAGGGTAGTCTATCTATAATATTTATAATAGACAATGCTAGTATCTACTATAGCAGGAGGGTTAAAGAAGCGATACTAGAAGCTAGCTATTACCTCGAGTTTCTACCGCTATACTTACCGGATCTAAATCCTATCGAATAGACCTTCAATCTACTTAAGAAGACTATAAAGAAGTACCGCTATAAGCTGCCGCTCTTTAAGGGTTTCTAGAGCTATTTAGTATAGTACCTATATAAGTATAGAGGCCGAAGAGCGCGCGGATTGTTTAAAAATGCTAGATATAACGTCGAAGGGTACGATTTGCCGTACGATCCTAATTACTTCGAAACGACCGCCGGATCTACGTAAAACATGCTTAATATAGATGCTAAAGAATCCGCATAGTATACGCACTATAAAGGGTCGCCGCCGGTAGTGCTTAGTAACTTAGATAGTTATATATAGAGTAAGGAAGAGTTTAAGCAAGAACTCGAAGAATCGGATATAGATTTCGAGGACTTCGAGTAACGTTATTAGCGCCGGCAAGCGCTAAAGGCAGAGAATTAGATAAATAGTTCGAACGCTAGTATTACCTAATGCTCTATTTCTTCTACAACTAACGCATTTAATTTAATATACTAAATTAGGTCTAAATAAGTGCGATTATAGCAAGAATCTCCCGCTTATTATAAGGTTGTATATATTGTAGTAATAAAAAGAATAGCGCCGAAACAAAGCCCGAATTCAATTATATCTCGCCCTCCTTAGTAGCGGCTCTTTCCGTAGCGATAAGATTATTATCCCTCTCCTTTAGCTATTCTCGAATAGCTTCCTTTAATCGTAGACGCATACTATACACTTTATTAAGCTCGTAAGGCTAGTTAGATTAGTCTATATTAGCGATAGTATCGAGACGCTATACTATTCCTACGAAGAACTTAATATAGGCGCGTAGAGAGTCCTATTCCGCGAAGTCCGGCTAAAGGCTATACTAGTCGAAGAATTTAGCTATTGCTTACTAAGATATTACTATACGCGGTACTTTAAGCGGCGCCTTATATCTAGAGCGATAGCCGGCAAGAGCGCGAGTAGGAGTCCTTAATAGCGTACTAGGAATACGACTAAGGCTATTATTCTATTAGTATAGTATACCGCCTATAAACTCGCCTATTATCTTTATTATACTACCGTTCTTGCCGGCTAGTAAGTCCGAGTCGCTATTGCGCCGTATTCGACGAGTATTCTAGCCTTAATACTTCTTCTTAATCTTACGAGAAATTAGTATAATCTCGACCGAGACTAGAAGCCTATCTAGCTAAGAGCTGTCCTTATTCTATACATATTTACTCTTCGCAATCGCCTAGCTTAATTTAACTATTATAGCGTCGTAGAAGGGGAAGTAGTTCTCGCTAAGCTCCTTTACCGAGCGATTAAACTAGTAAGCAGACTCGCTAGCCTTCTTGCTATTAATATAGTCCTTACGAGTGTAGAGCTACTCGTTAATAATCTTAAAGTCGTACCTATTAGACGACTCGAGTTTAGCAACGATTAGACTAGTATTCCTTATTTAGATAGTATCTAGATTCTTCTTTAACTTCTTACTACTAACCTCCTTCCTACCTTTGCCTCTAGCTACTACTAGTTGCTTAGGCTTTATATAAAAGTCGAGATTAATAAAGGGCTTCTTCCTCGACGCTTTTACTAAATTAATTATATAGTTAAGAGCTTGCCGGTAAACTATGTCGCCGTCGATATCGTTACCTACTTAGTGCTAGTCGCTAGTAAACGCATTCTTCGAGCCTTTAGCGCCTACTCGAATAACGACTCGATAAGGTCGTTAATAGCCGTTAAGCTAAGCAAATTTCGCCGCCTACGTATAGGCATCCTACGGCTCTTTATCTCTCGTAGTAAGGAAGCTAACTACCTTCGTAGCAAGCGACCGAGCGGCGCCCTTCTTAGCTAGATTAAATATAGTCTATTATCTAATATAATAGAAGATTTCCGGTTTATTACCTAAGAAAGAGCTAGGAGTAGTAATAGGCACGTTACTAGTAGTAAGAGCGGATAGACTGCTAGTAGCAGCCTCGGCTTCCTACGCGGCGTTAAAAGAGGAGGAAGTAGAGTAAGAGGCAGAGGGAAAACAAGCGGTTTTGCTAGGTAAAATACTACTATTATCCCCCTCTAAGGGAGCTACGGCCTCTTTGCTTTAGGCAGTTACGGGACTAGCGATTAGATTAGGCTCTTCTACGGTAGTCTTCTTACCCTTTCTACCGGCGCTAGACCTACTTATTATACTACTCTTTACCTACTAAGTCGTATTAGTACCTCGTCTTATTAGCGGCGGCGATATAGGCTTCTCGAGAGACTAGATTACCTTCTTCTTTAGTATAGAAGCGGTTAACTCGTTGTTTAATCGAGCTAGAGGCACGCTAGCAGTCGTACGAGTAGACCTTATCGGCATTATTGCTAGTAATCGATAGAGATATACGTACGAGGCTTGAATAGACGATTATTCTCTGTTTTACGACAATAGATAGGAAGAAGTACGCAATTCTATATACAAAACCACTATTGGAATCCCTCCTTAACCGGATAAGGAGAGGAGGAGGCTCTGCGGACCGTACTGACAGGCTTACTGTAGCCTATAGTACCATGTAGCGCGCATCGGCACATGGCGTCACGCCGCGCTATTACTGAGCTGGTCATTTTCCGTCTGCTCACTTTCCAACTCTCCCTCGCGATCAATTTCCTAGTGACACGCACGTTCAATCAAGAACGCGACATCGACGACATGGCGACATTCAAGCACGGATCGGCGGCGGAACCGATACCTGCCAGAGCCAGCAACGATGACTTGGCCCCCAACAACCCCCTCCAATCCGACCTCACGGCCGACGATACGAGCAGCATGGATAGTGATGAGGCCTACCTTGGTAAGGCTAGGAAAGAGCTGGAGAGAGCATGATGATTGATGGACCGTCTTGACATTTCCATCGCTTCAGTGAGTTACCAGTGGTATCAAGCAAAAGAGTCATGGCACACGGGTGCTCGCACTTCAGTCTGACACCACCCATCCATCTTGAACGTTTGATGGAGTGTTTGATCGAATTGTGGGCTGAGATCATACCGTACTTGAAAACTTGATCACAGTAATTTGTGCGAAAGAAGATGCATGACCTCAAAATCAGTCAATGCTTGCGATCCTCCGTACCTGTTGCATTGGCAAACGCTAATTTGACTCAGCGAAAATTGGTTACAAGCAGGTGTGTAGATTGTGACGTTCTCCTCAATGAAGACATGGTGCTGAAAGTGACAGTCTCTCCACCGCCAATGGAAGCTCTTCGAAAGCTTTGCGGCTAGCTTTGGTATAGCCACGTCAAGATATACTGTACCTTCCTGTAGTTATTGACGTTGTCGCAGCTGCCCTATACGCCGTGGGTGGTGTCCGAACCACCTTTACCATCGGAGTCGGCGCAGGAGGACCAGCTGCGTACTGGTCAAGCTACGTTGTGACCTGCTTCTTTGTCATGATTACAGCCGCAGTGCTCGCCGAAATATGCAGCGCTTTACCAGCCGCTGGTTCCATCTACTTCTGGGCCGCTGAAAGTGGTGGCCGACGCTTTGGACGTTTGTTCGGCTTCATTGTGGCATGGTGGAGCACCACTGCTTGGACTACCTTTATCGCCTCTGACTGTCAGGCTGCGGCAAACTTTCTCCTGTCAGAGATCACAGTATTTGGACTGGACTTCCCTACCGACACTTCCAACATCAAGTTCCGCGCTGTCCAGTGGATCGTCTCCGAAGTCATTCTCTTTATAGCCATAGGCATGAACTACCTCAGTCCAAAGACATACAAGGCCGTCTTCCGATTCGCAACTGGCTTGATTTGTCTGGACTTCCTGCTCAACATCATCTGGCTGCCAATAGCTGTATCGAAGACTTACGGGTTTCAAGACGCCAAGTATGTTTTCACACATACAACCAACCAGACTGGAGCGCCACCCGTATGGAACTGGATGCTTTCGTACTTTGTTACTGCCGGTATCTTGGTTGGCTTCGAAGCTTCTGGCCACATTGCTGAAGAGACCAAGAACGCGAGTATCACTGCCGCTCGCGGAATTTTTACTTCAGCTGGTGCTTCCGCAGCTATGGGATTCCCCGTCGTCATACTGTTCTTGTTCTGTCTGCCCGATTTGACAACGCTATATAGCCTGGACGCGCCTCAGCCTTTCGTCAGCATCTATGCTCTCAGCATGGGTCGGGGCGGGCACATTTTCATGAATGTGGTCTGCATCCTGGGACTTATCTTCAATGCTACAGTCGCTGGTGTCGCAAGTTCCCGTCTTATCTGGGCCGTTGCGCGAGATGGCGTCCTTCCTTTCTCAGGCTGGATATCGAAAGTATCGGAGAAGAAAGAGCCCAAAAACGCGATCATTGTCATGCACGCAGTTGCGGCTTTGCTATTGTGCACCATTCTAGCATCGCCGGTAGCCTTCACCTCTCTCGTCAGTGCTGCTGGCGTCCCAACCATCACAGCTTATGCTCTGATCTGCTTCGGTCGCGTATTCCTTACGCCGCACAGCTTCCAGAATGCTAGATGGTCGCTCGGCAAATGGTCCAGACCAATGAACTTCATTGCGTTGATCTGGAACTTATACTTGGCATGTGTGCTTTTCTCGCCGATCGTGTTTCCGGTCACGGCAGAGTCGTTCAACTACTCTCCAGTCATTTTCGGCGCCATCACGATATTCGGCATCGTGACTTGGTGGATAATCCCTGAGGACAGATGGCTGCCGTATGGTCGTCTTGGCCGCATCCAGAGTATCGACCAGCACCAATGAACCACATGGCATTTTAGAGCAAGATCATCTTGGGATTCGGAGCATGGGCAATAAGACTGCGGAACGGATTCGAATACCATACAAACACCCGAGCACATCGAAGACGTCACACAGGGCGCAAGCGATGATCCAAAAATATTATCACAAGCATAGAGGTATATACTCTGCAACAACTGACTGCATTCGCAATTGTTTCAGCGTCATATGTCAAATCACCAACAGTCGAGAAAGTGAAGGGATCGAAAAAAAGTGACAGGGGTCCACGGCTGCCTGGGCCGAATCAGGCAGGAGCGGGTCTGCGCCTTCTTTGATCGCCATCACTTTAAGCCAACACTCGCACACAAAGCATTCCAAACACAAACACACATTTTCGCACGTCGCACTTCGCTTCCTTCCTACTACAACTCATAGCATCCACCACTCCGCACTCCTTCGCATCGAATTCTCGCTATCAACAAAATGGCATCGGTCAAGGTTGGCCAGAAGGTGTGGGTGGTCATGATGGGCAACGAGCTCGGTGGCGTCTTCACCACCGAGAAGATTGCCAAGGAGGCCGCGAAGAAACTCGAGGGCACCATCCATAGCGATCTGCTGAGCAACAAGTAAGTGTGCACTGCACTCGACCCTGACGACGTTGACTGACATTTTCAACAGGAGCGACATGTGTGCTCCAGAGCCAGAGGCTGCCGCGCAGAAGAAGGTCGCAAAGAAGCGCGATGCGCCAGCTGAGGAAGAAGATAACGAAGATGACGAGGGAGATGAAGAACTCGAGGACCTCGAGGAGAAGGCGCCAGCGCCTATCGCTAAAAAGGCAAAGAAGTCGACCACTGAGGCGACTACCACGAAGAAAGCCGCGCCCAAGACTTCTAAGTCTAATGACGAGGCGTTTCCAAAGGGAGTTCCCGGTGCATTGAAGGGAGCAGTCGTAAGTCGATGTTACTGGTTCGTCGTGCATGAAACGTGTCACTAATGCGCTCTAGATTGGCCTGACTGGTACAGCCTGCCTCACTCGCAACACCCTCAAGAGTGCCATCGAGAAATATGGCGGCTCGTACACCGAGAAGTGCGAGGTAGCGGACTACGTCGTCGTTGGAAAGAGAGCTGGCGCGATCAAGTTGGAGGCAGTAAGTTGTCGTGTACCCATTATCTAACCTGTGCTGATTATATGCCTTGCTGCAGCTCACCAAGGCTGGCGTCGCCCAGATCTCGGACTCGCAGCTCCTCGAGTTCTTCCTAGGCGAGGAGCCTGACGTTTGAAGAGCTCTTGCTTCCTCTCCCAATTTTACGAATGACGACCTGGATAAGGATGCTGTGAAAGCGAGTCAGCATATCCTTCATGATAGCACATAACTGATGGGGAAGGTGGCGTTCATACCACGCGACGCCAATGCTCAGCGATATCTTTTCGGCGCGTCACCCAGACGCCGGGCTTTGCGGCAATGTACTCTACAAATCGCTTGAGGGCCTGGATGCATTTAGTGTAGCACTTAATGGCGACAATGACACACATACCATGAATCTTCCTGGCTTCCCAATGATCCTACAATGTAGCCCAATAGTCATCATCTTCGGCGTGCCCGCTTCTCCTTCCGCGTACAAGATATCGAACGCGCTCTGAAGATACTCGTAGAACGCTTGAGGAGAGAAGACCCCTGTCAGGCTGTGGAATCTGCTTCAATGTCAGCGGCGTATTACAAGCATGTCGCGCTCAGCTCACTTCAAGTCATTCGCATCATAGCTAATGGAGTCAGCACGCATCATTTGTCAAGTGTAGGACGATATCTCACGTATATGGAAGCATAAGCATTCCTTGAGGACCTCCTGACGGTGCGTCTGCAGGCAAATCTGCTTCAGCAGGTACATCGGACCAGTAAGGAAGGTCATCACAATAGCTATCGCTCTCCCACAACAATGGGATCCCAAGCTCCTTATAAGTCTCGAATACAAGCGCCTTAGATCTGGGTGAGAGTCTTCCGTAATACCAGCCAACCTGGAGAGCACTCGTCAAGATGATTACGTGAAGGACGGCAATATCACTTACAGGATACTCTCCGGTGAGCTCTTTCAAGCACTTCAGCTGCCTCACAATGTACTCCTTCTCCAACGCTTCGTCCATGTCGTGGTAGTCAATCCACCTGCCATGCCACCCATGGTCAGCAAGACTACCTCATTGCGCAGAGACGAACTCACCGGTAAGCATGTGAGGCAATCTCATGTCCACCATCGTTGAAAGCCTTAATCACAGCTGGATTCTTCTCAAGAGCTTGCCCGACTGCATATATCGTCACGGGCATGTCATGTGCTTCAAAAGTATTCAGCATTCTCCAAATGCCGACTCTACTGCCATACTCGAAATCACTCTCCGTAGTCATTGCTCTCTGCCCAGGTCTTGGCTACCTCTATTCAGGCTTGTGGGCATGAAGAATTGAGTTCCGTAATATGTGAATACCAAATTGCGACCGAGTGCACGTGATAGACCGAGTGTACGTAATAGACCAATCAGTTAGGGCTAGCTTCCGAACTTACCGACAACCAATCACAAGCACTCTACCTAATTCTTCGCCTACAAGCCTAACAGGAAACCGTACTAAACTAGTATGCGACACACCACTTTTTTACGACAACGCAAAAATAACAATCTAAAGAGCGGAGATTGTAGAACTGCTAATTGCGTTTCATTCTATCTAGGAATTAAGTCTATACGACGTTGCGTTGTTAAGCGCCGCTATATTTGCTAAAGCTACTCTACTATAGCTATCCGAATTAGCAGGCCGGCTAGCTATATGCTAATATACACTAATATTTAACATACTATAATTAGTGTTTTAACACTTAGAGGTCCTTCTCTTAGGGACGGCGATCTTCGTTTATGTAGGCGGTATCCTTACGCGACACTTCCTCGTTAAGATATAACATATCTAGGAAAACGATAACCGTCTAATAGGCGACTCGACACTTAGAGGTCCTTGCCCGACTATTTCCGAATATCTTTTGTGTAGTGTATAAGCACGCGCGAGGTGTAGTTATTAAGTTGTTAGTATATAGTAGACGCGACTCGAAAGTCGACACTAAGAATACCTAAACTCGCCGCTAGCACCGCTAGCACCGCTAGCACTATTCCTTAGTCTTAAGTCTTCTAAGATGTCTAACAACCTGTCGAGCGAGATAACGGAGTATAACTACGACGATGAAGGTAATCTAATCCTTCTAACTTAGCGCTAATAAGATAACGGCGAGCTAATAGACTAGGATTTAGATAATGCGCTACTGCTAGGTCAGCTAGGATATCTAGCAGCTCTAGCAGGTCTAGCAGCTCTAGCAGGTCTAGTAGGTCTGCCGCCTTTCTAACTAAGCACTAGATTTCTAAGTAATATACCGGAGACTATCGTACGACCGGCGGACATGCCTAAGATTAGCGAATTTGAGGATAAGGAGTCGGAGTCGGAGACAGAAGATAAAGATCTCGGCGAAGAAGATACAGAGCTAAGTAATAATAAAGAACTCGAAGCCCGAGATAACGATAATAAGGATGCCGACGAAGATAAAGAAGCACTCGATAATACGCGCTAGGCTACTAAGAATATTGCGATAAAACGTATGCTTAATAAGCGGTGCAAGGAAGTTAAGGATCTCATAGCTAGACATAAGCTTAGTATTAGATACTTCGTTAAGTATTTAGTCGGCAAGCTAGGCGAGACGGCATCTGTATCTGCTAAGTCCCGTAAGACTATAAAGCGCTCAAAGCGTTACGAGAAGAACCTTAAGGCTATTACCGATGCCTTTCTAGAAGACCGCCTATTTAGCGCTCGTATCGTTCGTAATAAGCTAAAGAGCCTAATTAGCAAGGACTTATTTAGCATATATAATCTAGACTTCTATACGGTCGAAATCGAGCTCGCATCGATAGACGACACTATCTAGCAGGTCGTACCTATATAGCATTAGTTGCTCGGTTAGGACCTGCTACCTAATGTGCGCCGCGATTATTAGCAGTACTAGACTAAATTCGCAGATAAGCGCAACGTTATACGGAAGCGTACGATAATGCTAACTTCTTAAGTCCTCTATTCGATATCTTATATTAAGGTATTATTCTTTCTAAAGGTCCTTAGTATCTTCCTTATTAGCAATAGTGCGAGTCGCCGCACTATCGAGGTCTTGAACAATCTAAATATAACGCTAGCATACTAGACTATCTAGATCCTAATAGACAAGAATGCCGATTATATAGAAACGTAGATTGCCGAGCTATGCAATTATCTAGACAAGTAGTATAGTAGCACTATCGACAATTTTAATCGCATATAGAAGCGTACTATCTAGAACACTAGCGATACTAATAAGATAGTAGCTATAACTACGTCGTATATAGCCGTAAACAAGCGCATTCCGAAAGGTAGCCTAAAGAAGAAGATGATTCATTACGATAAGCCGCTGAATGCTAATAATATCCTTAAGAACATCTACGAAGACAAGGCGATACGCCTAGATAGAGAGGAGATTACCGATATTAGTATAAAGACCGCGCTCTTCTACATCGACGAGGCTATTGCGTACACATTCCTAGAAGCCGTCGAGACGATCTTTAAGAACGAGGAGGGCCGTAGTAGCGTAGCGCTAAAGCGACTAGCTTAGCCTATAATCGATAAGCTAAATCCTACCCGTATAGAAGTATACTCGCAGCCTATGTCGTTTAATGATAAGGCTACTATTAAGGGCATATATGCTATATAAGATGAGATCCTACTTAAGTTCTAGGACCTAGATCGCGAGAAGGACTTTGTAAGCGGACTAGAGGGACCCCTTTATATCTAGAATAGCGATAACATAACCGTACTTCGAGGACATAGTATACGCAATAAGAGCGTTAAGAATGAGGATCTATACGACAAGCGCGACAGCCTTCTTATATCGCTAGCCTAGTTCTATACTATAATAAACTGCGCATTTACTGTCCTACGTACGTACTAGGACAAGAACAGCGATAGCGAGGCTCTGCTAGTAGCTTAGACAGTAAAGGGCGATACCGCTTTTTAGTATAGTAAGAACAAGGTTAGTAAAGACAAGCCGAAGTTCTTTAAGATCCTCCAGCTACTTAAGACTACGTTCCGCTTACGTAGTGTTAGTGCGGCGATCGAGTGGTTGTCTAGCTAGGGTCGTATAGTGATCTCTAGCGAGGATAACCGTATATAGGCTGTTAGAGAGGCTCTCTCTCGATTAACAGCTTAGTAATACCTCGAGATGCTATATAATATCTATAAGAAGCTCCTCTCTATCGAAGTATAGCGCGGCCTGCCGCATCGTACCGGTAAGGCAGCGCCTAATGCCTAGTATACTACAATAGCGCGGATAATACAGGAAATTAAGATCTTCCTTACTCTGCGACTTAGTATTCGTAACGCCGATATTAGTTATCTGCGTAGGATCGTTAACTACTTAGTTCCAAATTTCTTCGGCGCTAAGTAAGGCAATTATAGGCGGATAATACTATATAAGCGATAGCTGCTTGGTCCTAGTTGTAATAATGTCCTCTAGGAAGCTATTCTGTCGTCTAGAATCATTACTAATAGCAAGAAGGGCTATACGATAGCGGCTAATAAGTAGCTTGAGATGTAAGTTTATAATAAGTGTCTATATCTAGATTATTGCTAACTATCGCAGACACAACTACGAGTATTTAGAAGATATTAATCGCATCGGCAACTCGACCTATAACCTACTAGCAACCTTTAAGAAGATTGCCCTTAATCGCGAGCCGTCTCGTACTCTGCGCAACATAATAACATCCTTTACTAGCATTAAGCTAAGCAGCTACTACACCTATAAGAACACAGCTATTAACGTCTTTAGCCGCGTAGAGAAGCTCTTCTCTAATAGATTCATAGCTCTATATAGCAATGAAGGTAGACAGTTATTAGATGACATCTAGCAGCTTAGTAGCAATCAAATCCGTAAGAAGGTCGCTACATTCAACTAGAGTAACAAGGACTATTGCGAAGGCCGGTCTACTATTACGGATGCCGTAATTAAAGATATAGATAGTACTAAGGCTAGTCGCGAGGCTACTACTAATCGTAGCAATATTAGGGGTGCTACTATTAACGAGAATAACTCTAAGTAGATCGATGCTATCTAGCGTACTAATAGATAGGCTAAGCTAATCGGTGCGGAGGTTTAGGTTGTTAATGCTACGGGCGATAACTAAGGAGAGTTTATAGTATATACTATACGAGAGGATACGATTAGAACAATAGACAGCGAGTATAGGTTTGTAGATTAAGGATAATATTTCTCTACTTCTAGTCTCCGTCGTTATCGTATTAATCACTTTTGCTAGCGCTAATTGCTAGAAACGCGCTCAATCGAAGAATCTTATACTAGCTAGCTAGCTAGCCGGCCGCTATATAGCTTCTCGATAAAGTTAACTAGATAAGTATTATGCTAGCTAGCGGGCCGCTATATAGCTTCTCGATAAAGTCAACTAGATAGGCGTCGTACTAGCTAGCCGGCCGCTATATAGCGCAAAGGGCAGTGTTAACTCGAGCTCGTTCTTGCTATAGTGTTGACTCTAGCTCGTTCTTATTATAGTGTTAACTATAGTACCAATTGGACTTTGCTATCTTATAGCTATCGTAGCTTGTACCTGCTAGTATATACTATACTCGACTGATTTGGCTAACGGGGCGGCCTTAGGCATAATTATATACTAGCGTCTAGTAAATAATGTCGCTCTTGCCGTAAAGGAGCGGGTAGGTTGGTAAGGTAATATATAGCCGTTATTGCTACCTATTGTCGACTACGTAGCTCAACCTCACCTACGTAGATAGACCTTCGCTTTCTAACTTCAACTTCTTCTTCTTCTTTATATTAACTATACTGTATGCCGGTATCCGCCTCGTGCGTAACTAGCGACAGTATCCGCCTTGCGCGTAACTAGCGACAGTAAACACCTCTACCCCTAGCAACACACTAACTGTCTATATACTATAGCGGTAGTGTCGAGATACCTCTTATCGCGAGTAGAAGTAGCTCTCTACTACGACTAACACTATTCCTTACTAGTCCTACGACTTGCTACCGACAGAACCGCTTAGAATTGGTCGAGGTCCCTTAATAGGTGTTATTTGTTTAGTCTAGTCCTTAGTCTCCGATAGGCTTTATTAAAAGGCGACTCTCCTAGCGAGTAGGTTTAGGAATCAATCGTAGTCTTAGTATAGCTATTCTATAGTAGCATTGCTATTAGGTGATTCCGCATTAGATAGTCTTCTTGTCTATTGCTATAATAGGCTTTCTACATTAGGCTCTTCTCGGGATACTATACGCATATCTAGTTGAGCTTAGTATAACGCAGCCTTTGCAACTTCGGCGATTAGG